GGGGGGGGCCCCCCCCACCAGCTTATACCCGTCTCTACGGTATCAAATTATTTTTGGTATGTACATAGTGTGTCACCATCAAAAAGTTTGAAAAGCACCGATCTACCTTTTTATTACATTTTTTTAAACTATTGTTTAAAAAGTACTTGGGAGTAAAAAAGTTAATTTTATAAATAGCTCTTAGAACATAAATTTATAAGTGTGGAGCATGTTTTTGGAAGCAATAGGACTTGAACCATGGATCCCCAGAAACTGTATGGTACATTAACCACTTTGCCATACCCAGCCTTCTAGTTTTGCAAGTCATTTTACTTCCAAATTTAAACATTATCTACTTTTTTTAGCAAATATGTTTTACCATTAATTATTGTTTTTAAAAAATATATTTAAGGAAAAAAAGTGGATTTTACAAGAAGTGGTACTGCAAAATTTTGCTAACTGAATGTTAGTTTCAGAGTTGTACTTGTTACTCTCATGAACCCTCAAATGCTCCTCATCCTCAGCTCAACTATCATAAAGTTATAATTTGTGAAAGTAGTGTTATTATTCTCACAAATCCTCAATTGCTCCTCATTGTCAGCTTGACTATCACAAAGTTATTATTAATAACAGCACTGTTATTACTTTCACAAATCTTAAGTTTATCATACAATTATTATTAGTGATATCAGTATCATTGTTACACTTGGTAAAGACATGTAAAGTGCTTGATGAATTCTTAAGTTTCTCGAGAATATGCACTTTTATACAGGTCAACAGCCACCTACAAGCAGAACCTACATCCTCCAACACAAGCAAGACACGCAAAATGGCAAGAGATAAATTATTATTAGGTGTTATATATTTGAAATGTAAGAAATGTTTTATTCTTCCAATAGACTTAACCCCCTCCAAAAAAAAACAAAAACAAACAACAACAAAAAAACACACACACAGACTTCCTGTCAATGGATAACATCAAACTTCTTACTGTTGTCCTAATTATAAAATATATCATTATGATTGGTTTGGAGTTATAATTTTAAACAAGAGAATAGGTAAACTCTACAGTACTCACCCACTCTGTCAACGTTGTGAGGCAATTTGAGTTAAGAATGATAAGCAATAAAGGATTTGTGAGAGCCTAATTGAAAAACTGAAATAAACATTAACTCTATAACACATGGGTGCATTGATTCCTTGCACCTGTTATGATTTATTTCATTGCATTACAAAAACACAATTATTGGATGAAATAGTTTGGAACTTCAACAGAACTTCCTAAAGATTATTTCATTTCTGCAAATAAAATTTTTTATTTTACATATGTGATATTTATATATTCTTGCAACTTTCAAAATTCATAAAGATTTTATTCTGATATTTAAAGAAAAAACTTAAAATCCTTACTTTTCTGGCAGATTTTAATTACTGATTTTAATGTTTTCCTACATTCTTCAAACTTTCCTATAAAGTTTTTATGTTACAAAACTGTAATTTTCACTGTTTCCAATTAATGGCATATAATAAAAGTAACTTTTCCACCATACTAAAAATGCTCTTTTTTTAAATTGTTAATCAGAAGGGCTCATTTAACATACGTATTAATTTTTAACAACTCATTTGATATTTATTTACATATGGTTTTTATAATTTTTTTTTGTAATTTTCTCCATCCATTTAAGCAGTTACTTAGGCTTAATGTAAACATAGTTATCATAGAGGCCTTGTCAGTGAAACAGTCAGGTGCAAAATGGTTTAGCTAAGTCTATTACATCTTGTTCCAGGAAAAACATTTTTCTTATCATACTACATCATAATTTAAATAAAACACAAAATGATAAAGCAAGCATCTTTTTTTTTCTAGCAACATATCACCAAGCTAAGCTTTTATCAGTTTGTTCCAATATCTACCTGAATTTCTGCTCAACTAGTTTATACAGTTGAAAAAGGTAGAAAGAATTTTCATTACACATTGAGATCACTAGAAGCCTAAAACTTCTCAAAGCTAAGATATAGGCAGTTACATCATAACATTAGAAACAGTGCATTCAAGTGTATTCAAATTACAAGGTCAACATTAGAACTGTTTTATTAAAAAAAAAGTGCTGTAAGTTGCAGCAAGGATATATACATTAATGAGTGTATAACAGAAGCTTTATAAAGATGCTTGTCCCATATAAGGAATTGTCATGTGACAAGATAAATGATACTCAGCAACAAATTGTGACAAATTGTTTATATAAACAACTGCTCTCATTGCAGATAGAAAAGCTACAGAAAGTTTACCTTAAGCACACTAACTGCAGCTACAGAATTATCAACAAAAAGGAGGGATCCATGCAAATGGGCAGCCGATTAACAGCTTCTGACAAACTCCAATTAGTGTTTAGTGAATCAGCATAATTGAACCAATTAAATGAAGGACCTACTTGTAGACTGGGCCTGGAGAGCTGTTTGAGGTATCTTAAGAATACAGAGAATAACATATAAAAGCAATGTTTCTGGGTTGAACAGGAGCTCTCCCTGACATTTCTAATACATTTTGCAGTTTAATTGGGGATAAAAAGTAAAGACCCAACTTCCTATCTTCTGCAACATACAATGCTTGTACCAATCTAGCTAACTCTGTTCTGCCACTTCCTACTGTAAAGGCTAATTGCTGCAAATGATTCTGAATTCTTGCGAAACATAGGATATTCAATTTTCTCTAATAGAAGCATTTGGATTGTCGATAAAAGTGCCTCAAAATGCTTCATCCTTATTAAATTTACGAAATTCACAAATGCTAATGTTTTCATTCACAGTGCACTGAAACTAACCCAAAATGGTAATTTATGGTTTTTATTTTATATTTATGAAGGAAATCAAATAAATAAAACTTTTTTATTGAATAAATTTCAATTCTGAGATATAATTTTGTTAAATGTATGAAAGAATAAATACAAGTTTATTCTATATAATTTTTTTAAGTTAATGGTACAATTTTACCCTCGAGGTGGGATGCATGCATCTGTGTATGTTACATATATATCAGAAAAAGTTAGCAACAGGCTGAAAGTTGTTTTGGATTCTAGCTATTAGTTTAACATTTTTATGTCCAATCTTTTCACAAAACTGTCTGCTTTTTCACATTACACCTACCTGGCAGTTTGTATAGGTCTAAATGGCCCTTGCTTTGTAAGATCATTAACTGCTCAAGTTCTTTTCCTTCACTTGCTAAAGTTACTGTCAATCCCTGTGATCCTGTAAAGTTACTTTTATCATTAATTATATATATAAATTCAGAAAAGCAGATGTGCTGAGAATTAAATCATGGAAATAGGTAAATACTAACTGAAATACTGCTTGATAATTTTATATTTTTTGTAATTTTCAAAGAAACTTTTTCTCATTAAATCACCTAAATTTATTTTTAACAATGAAAGATTTATCTCACTAGAAATTGCAACTAAATATAAATATGAAACTAAATATATGTTCTTCTCTAGCTAAAATGAAATAAAAATTTTTACTTAAGACCATTAGCTAAATTTTGACAACTCCTAGTGGATTTAGAATTAATAAGAAGTTCCTTTAGAATAAAGAAAAAAAAACATGCTTGGAAAGTAATTCACTACATACTAGATTGTTTGAGACTGTACTTAAAGATCACCTTAGACACATGTTTATGAAAGAAAAAAATGGCAAAAATGTTTGTTAGATTTTCTACAATTACTAAAAACTAGCAAAATTCACTAAGAAGTTAAAATACACTTTTTTACTAATTTATTTAAAATATAATTTTTTTCTTCCAGAGCTAAGATAAAGAAATTTATTCTCCAACAATAATAGAAATATTTATTACCAAATCGCCCTGCTCTACCAATCCTATGTAGGTATGTCTCTACTTCCCAAGGTACATCCAAGTTTACCACCAAGTTCACATTTTCAGCATCAATTCCTCGTGCAGTCTGTGCAAAAATGTAAATTGAAAATGCTTTTGGTGTCAGCAGTAGCTTAACACTTCAAAGATAATATATTTAGATTATAAAGTTAAAGCAATATGCTCATTGTTGTACTGTATACCTATGCTTTCAAAGTTGCATACATTTTAACTTCAGACATAAATATAAATGTTTGTTTTGGATGTAATTTAACCTTTAAAATTCATTACTCTGAAAATAAAAACATGTTAGCTTTATGATGGAATGGGTACATTTTAATGTTAAAATGTAAAAACAGAAACATTTTATGTCAGAAGTTTGTGACCTGAAACTACAGGTTTATTGAAGTTTCATTAAACTGGACATGAGAAAACTGTTATTTCATGAGCTGTAAAAATCTTTAAAAATAGTTTGAGGCACATGTATTGCAAAATATCATTAATTTTTAAACTATTTTACTAAGTAAAACATAAATGTCTTTTAAATTATTTTTTGTGCAAACAAGTTAAGTGAAATAGACAACATAAATAAAGCAATTATACTTTTTTGGCTTAGTCTATTAATTTAAAATTTTGGCTAAAAGGAAAAATATCAGTTAAAAAATAATGGTTGGGAGTAAGCAAAAAAACTATAGCAAACATCTACTGCAACAGAGCTAAGGTGGTGCAAGTCTAGACTACAGTCAACTGTTACAAATAAGTCACTAAAAATATACATGTATGTAATGTAGGGAGAAATAGGATTGAGCATATGGTAAAGCATAAATACTGAACTCAATTTTAACTTTTGTGGAAGAATGTCAGTCTTAAATCTGATAGATGAGTTAAATAGCATAAATTTTACATGACATACAAGATCAGTTGAAACTAGAACTCGAAGTTTAAAGTTCTTAAGCTGGTTCATGGTCTTTAAACGATCACTTTGCTCCTGACTGCCACTGATGAATGCTGTTGGCCACCCTTTCTTCAACAATATATCCGAGAGACTCTCAGCCCTAAGGGAGAAAAAAACAATCTTTTAAGGATGTAAAATAAATGTAAACGTGACATCTATAACCTAATTTCAGCTGAATTAAGATGGACGTATGAACTCTGCATCAGGCAAAATATGCTCATAAAACACATTACATGCTTATATTTAATAAATCCATTGTTGAGTTAGGACGAATGAAAGGAAAGTTTCTAAGTAAGAAGTAAGGTAAGATCAATGTTTTCCTATCAAAAGATATACAATTTATACCCAAAAGCAGGAAAATCTTAATTAATACTTTTGTATAACAAAAAATGAGGATTACAATCCCAGTGTTAGCCTAATTTGTGTTATCTACTATGTTTGTGCTATCTATGTATTAGGTAATTTGTTTAAATTTGTTGCATTTGGGAAACTTTCTTGAGGTTTTCTTTACCAATCTGAACAAAATAATTATTGATTTTAAATATATATACAGAAAAATCAATAATTTTTGCAAACTAATTGATAGAGCTGGGCAATTAGTGATATCTGTCACTTAATTAATTGATGGGTTCATTAACTGATTACATTCAATTAATAAATTAGTACACCACATCCCTACAACACATACAATCAAAAAGTAAGAGTATGTGATACTATCTTAACATTTTAAGTAATAGGTTATTCTAACATGGTATTAGTTTTCCTATTTTATTTTAGTGATTTTTTTTTAAAAGCAATTTTCAAGTTACCCTTGATTTCATATGATGACCTTTTTTGAAGGTCACTGTTTGCACATTTGTGAAAAACATTTTTTTTGTCAAAAAAAAAAATCCCAGATGTTTTATGGACGTTTCCTAGTTAATGGATCAGTCACTAGCATCAACTAAATATCATCAAGTGTTTGCCATTGCTTGTTTTTCATATATTCAGTAATTCCACACAGATTTTCTGTAAATCAAATAAATCGATAATTGAATAATGAAATCATGTTTTACTCTCACAATAAGGGGTAACAATGCTTTTATTCAAAACAAGTCATGATCACAGTCACAATTAATTAAGTAGCCAGTCAGATGTTGTTTGAATAGGATAAACACAAAAACGATATTCAATAAAGATTTGAATCATTACAATATTTTGCAATCTCTACCATACTCACTAAACAGTAAACTTATCTAGTTTCATGACAATTTTATTTGGTGAATATTATATATAACAACAACTTCATGTTTACAAATATTGCAACACAATAAAACAATAATATATTTACCAAAATAAAAACCTCATATTTAAACAAAGGACCAAATATCAACAAAATACCTTTATTAAACCCATTAACTGCGGCAGGAGCAGCTCAGTTGCCATTTTCTGACTCACAGATAAAACTGAGTTGCCATCAATCACAATAAAATGGTAATTTTTGTCATTTGCATATAGTTATAGTTATATATATGTGTGACTGATGGATATTTCTGTCTTTGCAGCCGAGCCATAGAACTTCAATGATGGAAATATCCATCATCTACAGTTAATGGGTTAAGCCTTAAGCAATCTACAATCATGTGGCTTGTATTAAATCTAGCTATATATACTCTATTGATACGTGTTAGTCTATTTCTTGCTTTGTATCATTAGGAAGTGATCAAACTACTCAATGTGGCACCCTCTCAAGGTTTCAACCAAGGCTTGTACAAAACTGTGGGAAATGCTTGAAAAATCAAGAAATGGATAATACATTCTCAAAGGGTGATAGGTTCTTAGTAAAGATGGATGTTCTTTAAGATGGGCAGAAAAAAAGAAATGAAATGTAGTTTGTTTTGTTTACAGACAAAACTCTTTGCAGCTGTGCAGAAGAGAAAATATTAACTTTTTCTTTATTAATATGACAAAATATGAATTTTAGAATATTTTTGAGTTAAAATTATTCAAATACTTAGAATTAACATATGAAACTGCCTTAAGAATTTGTGGCAAAAATATGTGAAAAGCTAGAGGAAGTACCGTCTTTAGGTACAATAATTTAGGAGTAAGTTATTTTGTTCATCTTAAACTGTTGTACATGAAAGTATATCATATATGAAAAGTAGTAAAAACCTGTAACCACCACAAAATAATACAATTTATAGCATTCTGGAAGTTTCTCCCTACTAATTTAGATAAGACTACTGTGCTAAAACAACTGATTTTTTGTTGATGAATATAAACATATTACTACTTTGTGACACTTTAAAACAATAATTTTTTTTATATAGTTAATAAAAATTTTAACATTCTAAAAACATCAACAATTCAACATTAAAAAAAAACGTTTCAGTTATAGACTTACATCACGTGCAAGTTAGTTGAATATTTTTTCACTGTTGGAAATAAAATTATTTTTCTAAACGCGTGCAAGAATCAATACATGATATTTGATAAACAATACTGATGTTTATAAAAATAAAATAAAATAAAGAAACATCAAAGCTTTCATTGTTTCTTTTTGTACTTGTAATTACACGCTACCAGAAACTTTAATAATAAAGTCAATTAGAAAGCCTACCAAATCATTATGATTAGCTCAGTTGGGTTATAATCCAATGATTTCAAAGGATATATCTTTATTTCTAATAATGTGACTGATGTGAAAATAAGAATAGTTATAGATAAACATTTCAAATTTTGCAATTAAAATCAAATAGTTATAATTATATTTAGAGAAGATTATTTAGTCTACTCCAAAATTCATATTTTAGTGTTCGTAAATAGGATGCCTGCTTTCAATTTTATCATATTTCTTCACTTCACAGCATTTTCACATATTTTGGGCATCAACAATATGAAAATATCTTTCTCACGAGTGTTACAATTTCTAAACAACAAAAAATAGATTTTGTAACAAGTATATATATTATAAGAGCTGCAGGTGTCCAAAGCAACACTAATTTTGGTGAAAACAAATTTCTAAGTCTAGAGCATGCACACATTGTTAGTGTCTGAAAAAAAGGCAAAGCACAAAAGTTTATCATAGCAAAGTTTAATTGAATTTATATTTTGTACTCATTCAAAAATATTCAGTTATTGGCTGAGAACACAAATGAATTGTTGCAGCCTCCAGAAAAAAAAGAAAAAAGCTTTTATGGTAATTAATAGAAACACCGATATGAAATAAAACACTGATATCTAATACTTTTTTTGATACTACTTGTTTTTTTATTACTTTCCAAAAATAGAAAGTGACAAGATGAGAGTTTCAACCTTAGTTGTGTCCCTAGTCTTACATTTTCACCATTAAGTACAAAAAAAAAATGATGTATCAACACTATCGACTCCATTAACAATCTTGAACACCTCCATTAAATCCCCTCTAACTCTTCTTTTTTTCAAGAAAAAACAATTTCAGAGATCTTAATCTATCCCCTTATGAAAACCTTTTCATTCCAGGTATCATCCTAGTAGCCCTTATTTGAACCCTTACCAACAATTTAGAGTCCTCTCTGAGGTAAGGAGCTTTTGATTGAAAACAGTAGCCCAAATGTGGCCTAACCAATGACCTATACAATAACATTATAACCTTTCTAGACTTTTACTTAATATTTCTGTAGATACAACCTAAAATCATATTTGCCCTGCCACTAGTAACAGCACTTTGTTTTAAATGACCTAAGAGACTGATCACCCAAAAAATAAGATCCTTTTCTTCCATGACACTGTTAAGCGTTATTCCCATCAAAATAATACTCATAACTCAAATTGTGATATTCCACATTCATTACCTTGCATTTATTTGCCCAAGTCAATAAATAATCCAAACCATCTTGTAAAGCAGCAGCATCTTCCTCACAACCAGTAATATTCAAAACTTTAATATTAACAGTAAATTTAGATAATTTCTTCATCTATGCCATTGATGTAAATCAAAATAGAGCAAAGATTCTAACACTAAGCCTTAAGGTATTCCACTTGTGACATTAATTCAGTCTGACTAAATTCCATTGATAAGAGCTCTCTGCTTTCTTCAATCTAGCTAGTTTTCTATCCAATAAGTCAACTTATCCCCCACATGTACAGAGATAACTTTCTTAACAAGCCATTTATGTGGCAACTTTTCAAATGCTTCTGAAAATCCATATACACTAAATCTGCATCCATACATTCATCTACATAAACAACTGCTCCTGCAAATAATGTCAAAAAATTAGTAAGACAAGATTTTCCTCTAGTGTAACCATTCTGATTCTCCAACAAAATTTTAAACTTTCTTAAGCCTCTCCAGAAGGGTCATGGGTCAAAGGCCATGTCATTGTGTTTGTTGACTCTCATTCAAAATTTTACTGAACTTCTATTTCATGAATTTAT